GGGAGCCCCTAGCTATGGCCTCCTGTGGTCACAGTGCTGGCTCTTGGTGGGGAGAAGACATTCAGCAGCACTTTCCCAAGAGTACAAAGCACCCGGGGTGCACAGGGACCCAAGATGAGGCTGAACAGAGGACAGGGGTAGCAGGCCTGTACTTCCAGCCTCCCAGGCCAGCCCCAGGTGTTCAGATTTGGGAAAAGTGGTCAACCAGGCCACATCCCAACCTGCTTCTTTCCCCTCAGAGCCAAGATGGGTGACCAGATTGGTTTGTCATGCCCCCCCATGAATCCTCCCCCACCATGCCCACCATGAAGGAGCATGCCCCCCTTCCCTAGGGCTGGGCTCATCTGCTACCGTGGAAGACGCCCACGCTCCCTGGTGCAGCCATCCCTTTTGGCCATCCCTGAAGTGTTGGCATTACCATCTGCAGAACCTCCCCCGCTCTTCCCTCCTCCACTCCTGGGCGCCCTGTCCCTTGCAGGTGCTGGCCTCCAGGGGCTTGGGGACTGTCTTCAGGAAGTTCCCAGCGGCCAATGCAAACGAAGCCTCTCCCTGTTATTGAAGAGCAATGTGCAGGCACAGATCTGTCAGCCTCTGGCAGAGTCTTCTCCTGGACTTAATCCCTCTACGCTGAGTCACTGGGGCAATTGGAGCCAAGACAGTGTCTTATAAGCCAGCATCGGGCCAGCTCTGTTGAACCCAGACTGGCCAAAGCAATGTCTTGGGGTGAAAGTTTGAGTTCAGTCAGGGCTTCTTTCTATTGAGCCGGAGCAAAGTCCACTGGTGTTTTCTTATCTCTTAGGCTAGGATGGCGACACAGAAACACCTGATGTGTTCACTAGATTATTCAGTGTGACTGTGCCTCACAGACTTCTTGATTCAAGTCTTGACTCTGTGCGTGGCTGCTGGGGCTTAGCAGAGAAGACAGGGCTGGCCTGGGTGGAGGAGGCAGACATGCCCACCCACATGGAGGAGCAGGGACCCCACCCCATGTGCCACCAGGCCAGGTCCAGCTGCAGTGGAAGCTGGGCACCTTCCAGCAAGTTCTGCTCCCAAGAGGCCAGAGAAGTTCCAATGAGTCACCTTGGGAAGTTCACATACGGTTGCCTGCACACAGGCCTGAGATCCAGCTTTTATGATCAGAAACAACCATGTGGTCGTGGCTGCCCCCCATCCCCTCAGCAGTGGTCCCTGCCATCCTCCCCGAGGTCACCATCTTCCCTCTGAACCCACCTGCCCTCTCACTTCCTGCCTTGCCACCCTGAGGGCTCTGAAGCTTGAACACAGTTCTTAACTTGGAGGAACCTTATGAGTTTATGCACACTTCTGAGTGCAATTCCAAGGCTTCCAGGCGGCCCTGAAGGTTACCCATGGATGTCCGAGGGTCCCAGGGTACAGTCCAGCTCTTCTGTGTGGCCCATAGGCTCTTACTGAGCTCACCTGTCCATCCCAGGCCAGTCCCCCAGGATCTGCTTTGCCTCGCAGAAACTTACTACGAACCCTTGCACACAGCTATACACTCTCTGATCACCTATGTCCCTGCTATCCCTCCATCTGGTGGGGGGATCTCTTCCCATCATCCTGTCATAAATTCTTCCTCCTCCTCCCAATGGAGCCCCAGTGTCCTCAGCTTTAGGATTTCTCCCTGCCCACGTAGCCTGGCCAGGCCAGCATCTATCCATTTCACGTACTTCCCTTTCAGTGCCTCAGCATTTCTGTGCCCTTCACTTCCTGGGCCTGTCACACATTGCATGTGTTTTATTAAAGGGATCCTTGACTTTTGCTTAGGTAATTATGTGACAGCCACAAGTATCCTAAAAGAATCTGAGACTGTCCCATTTTGAACCATCCCTCCTCCAAAAGCAAACATAATTAAATCAAAATGCCCAGCAAGTCCAAGTGGCCCACCAGGGCAGGAAGGGACCCAGCAGCCCTGCAGTAGGTGGGGGTTGGAGGATTCAAGGGCAGAAGTGACTCCATCACAGGCTAGAGTGGGGGGACCAGGGAGTTTAACTCTGTCTTTCTGTTGGTTGCACTTTCTGCTGCTTAGGGGCCCCTGAACCACAGGCTGAGATCTCTGGGTTCTAATCCAAAATATCAGGCAGCATTTCCAAAGCAGCCACACCCTGCGAACCAGCACTCTCACCTTTTGAATGATTGGGGGGCTAAAGAGGAAGGGTCTGTTTCTTAGAAAGCTCCAGATGACTTTGGAACCCATGACTGAGAGTCAGAGTCTGGAGTTCCCACTCAGCATGGGTCACTCCCCACCACCAGCCCGGACATGGATGTGTAACACAAGAGAACCCAGAGAGGGAAATTCAGTGCAGAGGATCAGGACATCCTTGGAAAGGCTCTGACTCTGGAGGGCCACAAACCATTGAGAATGTGTGTGGCCGAGGAAAAGGAGCTAATGCAGCATGGGGAGAGAGACCCAAAGAACTTGGGTGACATACCAGATTTGCTCAGACAGCTGGTGGTGAAGTGGAGCTCCACAAGTGGGTACTCACCTGGCCTCTGACCCAGGCTGGTGCTCCGTGGGGGGACCATCGGCTCCTCAGAGTACAAGCTCTCCCGGCTAGAGCCCCAGAGTGCTGCTGCCGATCCTGCCATTTCACATGCTGTGCCACCCTGCTTGGAGCCAGAACAGGCTGGAAAAAGATGGTCTTCACTGTCCTGAGGGTGCTAGCTGCCAAAAGCTTCTGTCAGTGGGCCAAACCAGCATTGGCTCTTGGTGATGCTCCAGAGGCCTTGGTCCTTCCCTAGCACACAGCCTATAGCTCCTATACCTGGAGTCTCTCAGAAGCTAGCCATGCTTGCTTCCCACCTGCTTCAAACCCTGTTGAGACATCCTAGCACCTGCTCTGCCAAACCCACTTTGCACTTGTGACTTTTGTCAAACCCCACTCAGGTCTGCATCTTCTGCCCACCGCCCAGAAGTCACAGCCTGGCTTTTGAACATGGCCTTCGGGTCCCCCTACCTATCCACCTTGCCACTTGCTGCCATCCACCCTCACCTTTAGGGATATGTCTTGCTCCCCACCTGGCCAGGCTGCTATTCACTTGTGCCTGCCCTTTCTGTGCTGTGCAGAACCTCCCTGCCTGGTGCCTTGCTCCACTCCTCTCCAACTGGGCTGCAGCCATGCTGCCCTCACCAAGAGTACTGGTCACCTGAGTGCTCCTCTGGTCCTTTTAACTCATACTGCAGCCTCTTCTACTAGCACCTGTGTCTTCTGTCTCACACACTGTTAGGACCCAGCACAGCCTCCTAAGCTACAGGTGATGACAGATCACAGCCTCAGTAACAGCTTGACAAATTAACCAAGGAAGGAAGGAAGGAAAGGAGGGAGGGAGGGAGGGGGAGGGAAGGAAGGAAGGAAGGAAGGAAGGAAGGAAGGAAGGAAGGAAGGGAGGGAGGGAGGGAGGGAGGGGGGAAGGAAGGAAGGAAGGAAGGAAGGAAGGAAGGAGCAGCCAAGGAGACAAAGGCAGACAGCTCTTCGGCTCCTCTAGCATCAGCACCCATAGTTTCCAGCCCTGTAGCAGGCTCTACAAGAAGCATGAGGCACCTCATTCCCACTGGACCTCTGTTTTACATTTGAACAAATGAGTATCCCAGGTAGGAAGGGACAAAGTGTCTCAGTTCTCCACAGCAGGGCCCTTCTGAGACAGGAGCTCAGTCCCCAGCCCAGAGCCTGCATGTTGCCTGAAAGAAGGAACCTGCCCTGCCCAGGATCTGAGCCTGCTCAGGCCTCCCTCCCCAAGGGGGCAACCACAGGATCCATGCAACACTGCAGCAGATCCCAGAAAAGCTCAAAGGGGCGCTGTGGCCACTCATGTTTTTCCAAGGCAGTGCTGGAGCACTCTCGGTCCCCGGGCACTGGAGGTCAGTCTTCACAGTAAGCGTGGGGCTGGGGTGGGAGGACTCTCAACAGGACCCATGGGAGAGGTCAAATCACCCCTCCTGCAGTGAGCCAGCTGGGTCAAGGAGACAGAAGGGTGTGTAGGCAAGCCACCCACCAGCCCTTTCAGGGAAAAGCTCAGCCCTGGCATCCAGCACTTTACTAGATGGAACTGGAACTCCAAGAGAGCATATTGGCAGTGTGTTCACCTGGTCAACCTCCCACTCTGCAGAGAGGACACTGCAGAGTGGGAGCAGGAAGAACAGCCAAGTTCTTGGTGCATTCAAGGATAGCATTTGTGTGAGCACAGGACCCTCTCACTGGGCCCATGTTTCCTTCTACCCCATCTTCCCATCTGATCTCTGTGCCTGATGTGTGTCACCAGGATGCGCACATCATTCAGCCATGACGCTTCACCGCCAAGATCCTGAAGGGGTCGGGGGACAGGAGGGGACAGTAGAAGACGGTTTCACCTCTGAGGAGCTTTGCGCTTGGTGCTACCCTCAGAGCTGACCCTTTGTATGTGGTCAAAAATATTTGCCCGACTCTGTACCACGAGTCACTTGTATAACAGTTGCCTGGATGTTTCTCTAATCACCAGCTCCACACTTACCAGAATCCCTTGTCTACGCCATCACCTTTCTAAAGAGTTTGAAATGGAAAAAATATGAAACACACCTAAAGAAAGTCTTCAATAAAACAGTTGGGCATGGTGGTTCATGCTTGTAATCCCAGCACTGAGGAGACTGAGAAAGGAAGATTGGCAGGTTAAGGCCACCCTGAGCTACATATGGAGACCCTGTCTCAAAAAACAAACAAAACAAACCTTTAGAAAAGGAATTAAAAGAAAAAAAAAAAAAACTCAGGTAAGGAATGGGATAATCATATAGGGGAAATGGGATAAATAAAATTGTCTCTGAGCTCCCAGAAGCCAAGGTCAAAAGGGAAATGAGACACTTCCCATAGCTTTGGAGAGGGATGGTGACAGAGAGGGGAAGCGAGGAGTGAGCCCGGAGGTCAGACCGCCCAGGTTCTGGGCCCATACTGATGGCACCAGCGCAGTTTCGCCCCGTTCACCCTCTGCTCCCGGTCCCTCTGTGCCCGCAGGCTGCTCCATCACCGAGGCTGTGACCATCCTGGGGAACAAGCTCGGGGATTACCAGAGCCAGTTCAACACCACGCGCCTGCTGGCCCTCTGTGACTACTTCCACAACACCTTCATCCGCCACTACAAACTCTACCAGTATGTCCTGGGCCAGGACCAGGAGGTCAACCTGACCGTCACCCACGTGGAGGTGCGCGCGCCGCCTCAGCCCCTCCCCCTGGCCGAGGGCACGGACGGGGACCTGTGGCGACACAAGCAGCAGGTGGCCGAGCTGAGCAGCGCAGAGGTGCAGAAGCGCGTCAATCTGCTGCTGCTGAAGGAGACGCTGCGCCTGGAGCAGGAGCACATGCTGCACGAGACCTTCGGCGACGACGGCGCGCGTGCGCAGCCGCGCCAGCCCCTGGGGCGAGAGGTGAGGCCCCGCCCACCGCCCCGAGCGCCCCTCCCACCCAGACGCTCCCGGGCTGGACTCCGGGCTGGACTCCGGACAGGACGGCCCACCCTGCTGTCCGCGCAGGGATCTCGTGTCTCCCACGTGCTGTCGCGCAACATCCATGCGAGTGGAAATTCGTTGTCCCCGATTTAGTGATGAGACAGAGAGGCTCGGAGAACTTAATTTGTCCAAAGCCACCAAGCTTCCATGTGGTACAGTTTATAGAGTTGATCTGAGGCCTGCTGAGCCCAAAGTCTAAGTTCTTCCCATCGTGTTATTGATGGGTGGCCGATTCTACCAAGAGAGGCAGGAAAGCAGCGTGTGGCTCTAAGTGGGTTTTCCCAGTACCCCTCATCTGCCCGAAGAGGCAAATTCCGTGGTCGGAGAGGGGGACAGTGGAGAAGGGGACATGAGACAGCTCTGGGAGGGCAATGTGAGCAGGTGGCCCAGGGGACCAGAAAAGTCTGGCACGTGGAGATGAGAAACGGGGCTGCCCGCTAGTTGGGTCCTAAAGACTCCAGGGTGCTGGTGCCTCCAGCAAGCAGCTCTTCTGTACTGGTCAAGACTGGCCTTACCTCTGAAGAGACAAACACCCTTGCGCTATCCACCCCCCCCCACACACACACATGCCTATTGCAGCCTGGGGGTGGGGGTGAGCGCCTCAGGGTCAGTGTGTTTCAACTGGGATATTATTGTTTGGTTGGTTGTTTTGGATTTCTGAATTGTCAGCTGAAAAGGGAAGATTCCTTTAAAGTTCAAAGATATGTTGAAGAGCCTGGTGTGGTGGTGCACACCTGTAATCCCAGCACTAAAAAAGCTGAGCCAGGAGGATGGAGAATTGGAGGTCAGCCTGGGCTACATGGTGAGATACTATCTCAAAAATAGGCAGACCTATATGTTTGGAGAATCTCTAAAGACAATTAATACAGTAGAATGGATGACACTAATCCAAGGTTACGTCTCCAGATAAACGGAGCATGAGACAAACATCAAATGGGCCAAACACATCCATGCAAACAGCCTGTCTCCAGCCCCGTTCAGGGGGCCTTGCTATAGAATATGGGGCCAGGCTGCCTCACATCAGCTCCTGTTCCCCTCATATCCCACAGCTGCTCCCCCTGCACTCCCAGCTCCTCCCAGCTGCCTTCCAGCCTTGAGGCACTGCTGCTGGGCCCTCTAGGCAGAGCTCAGGGGCTAAAGCCCCTCCTCCACGTGTATACCTAGTGTCAAGCCTGAACTAGGGCTCGCAACACTATAGGACAAACAGAGCATATCCTCTGGACTACCAGGTGTCCCCAGAGATCTAGGGGAAGGACACACTTATTATTTTTTGTTTTTAAAGAGAGGCATACGTAAAATTTTGCACAGGATTTTAACTTAAAATATGAGATTACAAAGAAATTTATTACAGATAAGGGGATACCCCAAGTCTGTCCCCCAGTACTAGATACAACCTCTCCTCTGCTGGCTGGTGGCTCAGGCGGGGAACTTGGGGGACAGTTACATGGACAGTTCATGTGCCCAGGATGCCACGGTGTCATGAAAGTGGCAGAGGGCCTCTGTTTACGTGGCGTTTGGTGACTGAGTTTCCGTTTTTCCTGTGGCTGGCTGATCAGAGTACACCCCACTCTTTAAAGCCATTTCCTGTCCCCTCTGAAGAAACCTGCCACTAGGGCTTGGAGATAGGAGATTGGGTGGGTCAGCGGGGATCCAAATGAAGCTTGTAGTGACCACAACCTAGAGGCCATAAGAGGATGGCATTGGTTATGGGCCAGCATGAGGAACAAATGACACACTCAAGATGATCACCATTCTGGGCCTGAAGGGGAAAAGGAAGGAAGTAAAGTCTGGAACCCAAATCAAGAGCTGTAGTACTGGAGAGGGCTGGGGGACGGGAGGTATGGTCCTAAGTAAGAGCTGCCACCATGGCCGCCTCCAGCTGGTTGGTGGAGAGTAGAGCCTCTTTTTCCTTCCACCCTCAGCTCTAATGAGGAGACCTCCCACTAGCTGAACTTGACCTGAAGCCAGGATCAAAATGTCTGACTGCTGCAGCCTTTCCAGATGCTCAGACAGCAGAGGGTGGAGAAGGGCTCAACAGGACCAGGCTGGTGAGGGCTGAGGGGTGGGGGCTGGGTCCACAGCACTCACCTAGCCCTGTGTTCTTGCAGGCACTGGAGCGCCTTGTCAGCAAGGCTATCCACATCCAGATCGCCTGCCTGCAGGAGCTGCTGCAGTATGAGATTCAGGTGGCCTTTGACATTCTGGACCTAAGGCTGCAGAAGAAGACCCTCAGTCTCAACGCTCCTGTCCCCCTCCTTCCCTCTATCACTGGCCAGGTGACCCGAGAGGACTTGCCTAAGTCCAATAAAACCAACAAAGGAAAGAAAGCCAAAGCTAAGAAGTAGAAGGCCCCAAGATGACTGCGACGAGGGCTTAGCACCCTAGCTCAGAGGCTTCTAGCCATTAAAAGAAATAAAGCCATATCCATGCTCAGTCTGTCTTAGAAACGTCCTCTTCTGCCTGGAACCCAACCCAGAGGGATTGTATCAGGTGACGGGAGAGAGCTGGCCTGGCTGGCACAGGGCTTGCTCATGGTGGGGCTTAGGCATCACTCTGGCTGAACCTGAGCTCTGAACCATCCCTGACCAGCAGTGGGTGTCTGCAGGTAAAAGCGGAGGGACCCCAGACACCAGCCAGGCTACCATCCGGGGGACAAGAAGTCCTAGGTTCTCCTTACTTACTGTGGGATGTAGTGGGCTGGTCTTGAAGAACATCTCAGGAGAGAGGTGAGACGAGGTCTGCTTGTCCCAGGTGCCAAGGGTTGCAAGGTTCAAGCAGATCAAGTACCTAATCACAGCCACCCAGCAAGGCCCAAAGAACCCAGGACCAGAGCCCAGTCCTCAGAGGCACTGTGACTGAGCTCTTTCCTAAGCACTGTGCCTCTTGTGTGAACAGCTGCACAACCCTGGAGCTGTTAGTTTGACAGGGGACTGTGGCACCCAAATCAGGGCAGTAAGGACCTTACCACACACTGTCTCTTCCCAAGCCAGTGAGAAAGAACCTGCTCCTCTGACCGACCGTGAAGCCAGCAGGCTAAGGGCACAACCAGTGTCCACAGGCCCTGGTTGTGTTAGTTGAACAGTGGCCCCATTGAGCAGAAGTGGATACTGGTCTCCTCTGGCCAGGCCGCCCTCCCAATGTCCCCCCAACCAGTGTTCCTTTGCCCACCTCTGGACCTCCGAGGTGTGTCCCCCAGGACTCTGGCTGTCCACACCCAGAGCTATGCACACTGTCCTTTCCAATAGACCTACTCCTCCCCAAGAGGGTGCTTGCCAATGGAAGCCCCCAATTACCCACCTGTCTGGGTAAATCCCCACCTTGTCTACTCATGAAGGGGTAGATGCTTCAGGGCTGCGCAAAAGCCTGTTCCTGCGACCCTGTGACCACACAGCACAGGGAACCCCCATCCCAGAGCTCTGTTCCCCAACGTGGGGAGCTCAGGCTTCAGCCACACAGCGGGTGCGACATTAAAGAACAGTGTGTAGTGAAGGAATAATGAATGAATGAATGAGCCAAGGATTAAATGGACAATATGAGAAACCCTGACTCGCCTTCCTCTGTCCCCAGAGTGTTGGCAAGTTCAGGAAACATCTCAGGTGCAAACACTCCCAGCTGTGGTGTCTTTTTTATGGCCAAGGGTACACCACAGTGATGGCAGAGGAGCCTGCCCTGCCCTGCCCTGCTCTGTGCTGGAAGGTTCTGCCCTCATAAGCCTCTACCATCCCCACATCCAGCTGGCTTCCATGACCAGGTGGCACGTGTTCAAGGACAAGCAGAGCAGCTCTGGGGGTCTGGTATCTGAGTGGCGAGGTTTCTGTGAGGAAACTAAGTAGCCAATGGAGGTGTTCGAGTCCAGGGCCAGGGCCCTGAGCTGGCTAGGAAGCCTCCCTCCCTGCCAGCTCCTACCCAGACCTGTGGAAGTCGTCATTATGGTGTTTTTTAAATGCATGTGGCATGTGTACCTAGGTGGCATTTATGAACGGCAGGGGTTGAGTAGTCACAGGGATCAGAGAAGAGGACAGAAGCCACAAAGAACAAAGAGTAGATCAAGCCCTCCTCAGGCCTAGACTCTATCACTGTGGCAGTTGGAAAGTGGGTTTTACCTCAGCTAACGACACTGAGTGGTGGTCCTGAGGCCTGAGGAGGCAGCACTGAGCAGGCCCACCATGGGACAGTAGACTTCACATCTGAGCCCCATGAACTCGCAACGCTGAACCGAATCACTTTCACACACCACTGGGAGTCTGGACACCACCAGAGCCCAAGGGTGCAGTGACCATACATTCTGGTCTGCCTAGGACAGTCCTGGATGATGCCTGTTGTCCCATTGTGGGCCTGCTTTAGCATTTGTCCCAGATTTGCCTGCCGCTGTTTAATGGATGCCAGGTGACTTGTGTTAAAAGAAGACAGGACAGGTTGGAAGGCCTCCTCTTGCCCTCCTGGCTTCAGCCACAACTGTGTTGGTGGGGAGCGAACTTCATGGTGGGAGCCCTTGTGTGTGGTGTGTAGTGAGCGAGCTCTCATCTATACTTGAGGCTCGATGGGGAGACACCAAGCTGACCTCCTCCCAACCTTTCCTGGCTCAGTGGAACCCTCTTGGGTACAGTGTCCTGGACCTCCCTGAGACCAGAAGTATAGGCAGACACAAGCAACCAAGGACAGCCACACCTTGGGTGGTGCTGGGAGAAAGATCCAAAGCTGCTCCTGTTAGGGGCTTAGTCCTCAGCCCCTTGTGCCACACACAGCAAGGTACGGGAAGTCACCAGACCACCAGGCTCCAGGGCTGTGGGAAGGGTGGGAGAGATGAGCCAGGTGCATCTGCAAAGTTCTCGCTCCATGGTGTACATCTACGGCTCTCTACTTTCTTTGTCATTTACTATTGGGCTTTCATTTCTCAATAGACCTCTTTCGTGACAATGAGGCTGATAAAAGAAGAAAGAGCCCGAGTAGTGAAAACTGGATTATCTTGACTTTCCCTTTTCAAGAAAGTTAATGATGACATTATTATGTGCACAAAACAGTTATCTGCATTTATCATGCACCAAGAAAGCCACACAAGGTCACTGACATGAACAAGAAGGTGCCAGTCTGCTGCAGAAGCCCCAGATCTGTGCACAGGTTAGCAGGACTCAGAAGATCGTAGGGAATCTGAGTTAACACACACAGGGCAAATAAGCAAGTGGCAGTTCTGAAGTGATTTTGCTCTTTCTCTGTTATTTCTAACTTTTCTTGTACGTGATTTGAAAATACAGTGCGCTACTAGCTGCTTGGCCTCACTAAGGGAGAACTTCATCCTGTTAACCAGTTTTCCATGCCTGTGATCAGGTGTCGATAGAAAAATCAGTCAGATCCAGTAAGGGTGCACATTTTCTTCCCATCCAGGCAAAGTGGAGCTCTTGGAAATTCCTTCTGCCGCAGGCAGACACCTTTCAATATTGGTAATAATATCAGAAATTCACTTAAAAAGTTCAACATTGCTGGGTGCCAGTGGCTCACACCTCTAATCTTAGCTATTTGGGAGGCTGATATCAGGAGGATCAAGGTTTGAGGCCAGCCTCAACAAACAGTTTGAAAGACTCCATCTCCAAAATAACCAGAGCAAAATGTACTAGAGGAGTGGATCAAGTGGTAAAGCACCTGCTTTGCAAGTGTGAAGCCCTGAGTTCAAACTCTAGTCCCACAAAAACAAATTCAACATTACTTAAAGATAAAAGTAGTTGTTTTTGAGGTGATAATGTAAATATGAACATTCGTAGATCTTAGCATCTTGAAGAGAGTAACATTCTCAATAGATTAAAAAAGAAAAAACACCCAAACAAACTTACGGAGCAGGAATTTACTTGGAATCACTTTCTGGGCACGCGGAAGCCATAAATACACTCGGAGCATAAAGTAGCAATGAGGTTGGAGGAGGGACAGAGCAGCAATGGGCAACCTAAAATGTCAGAGTGGGACACCTCCCTGAAGATGCTGTGCGTCAGACAGTTGACATTCATGAGTTTACTTCCCAAATATTAGTTGACCAATTTATTCAAGACCCTGTTAGACACTGGGAACTCTACAGTAAACAAGCCAGACAAGGTACCCCAATTTTGAGGTTAAATTCTAACACCGGACATCAACCACTGATTAAATAAAGAAGATACTGACAGAGATGCGTGAGTTTATGTACCACAACCAGGTACCTAACTCAAGTAATGCTGGGTGTCAGGAACTTCACTGCCAAGGCTTTCGAGGGCCTATTGTATGCCAGACACTGGGATCCATCTCATCAGTAGACAGAAAAAAAAGGCACCATCAGTGCCCCACAAAGCCTATAGTCTGGAGGTTTTATAGGGGCTCTCAGCCACAGTGCCTTCCTCCCTGGCCAAAGGGAGGAACCATCCCCAAGCAGACCAATCAAAAGAGTCCATTTCCATGGGCCACAATGATTGGAGCAGGCATGAGCACATGACCCAAATTGGACCGATCAAAATAATCCATCCTCACCCCACCTGCCACACCTCCAGCCACGATAATTGATGAGGGGATTTTTCTACTTAAAGCTGACAGGACTCACTTCCTCTGTATGTGAGGCTGTGAGGATTTTAGGAAGACAGAGCAGCCTGTGGCTGAGATTTTTCCAGCCTGAGAGAAGGAAGACAATAAGCCAAGAGAAGCAGGGAGAGAAAGGAGAGATTGAGAGATTGCTTCCTTAATCCAACCACCCTGCGGGCAGCTCCGCCCTGTCATGCAGTGGTTTGGTTGTGTGAGCCAACATGCACACACCCATTATTTGACTGAGGTCAGTGAGATGGGAAGGGCAGAGAAGCCTTCAACCATGACAGATAAGGAAACTGAGGCTCACACAGGTGGAAAGATTGCTCAAGGTCATTTGACTAATACAGGGCGAAGCCTCGACAGGAGCAGCCAAACCTCCTACCTACGTAGGTGAGAGGTCTTGTCCCCCACTCCCACCTCACTGCCTCACACAGTGTGGCCCTATACCCAAGACCACCATGATGTCCACCTGAGTTATGGGCCCTGGGAATAAGCCACCCTTCAACAGTGGTCCACAGAGTCAGGTAGAAAGCAATTTGGAGACCAGGAGCCAGACCTTGCCTCTGGAACTTGCCCACACAAAGTCAAATGGGTGATTGGGAACAAAATAGAACACGATTTGCCATCATTGATCTCTCCTCAGAAAATGTCACCCCAATAGCAGTGTCCCCATCTTTTCACTCAATTGGGCATCTGCCATTCAAAGGCATGAGTCCAAGTTACTGACCACTGACATCTAACCATTACAGTTCCTCACAGTGTCACTTGTGAAATGTCCTCCAAAGAACCCAAAGGGCTTCCTGAC